AGTGTAAATGACAAAAGTGAGATATGTACTTTGAGTTCAACAATCCTACAGTTTGGGTTCTTAATTTGCACCAGCCGGCACATGAAGAAACAAACCTAATATATCTACGATTGGGCTGTGAATATCAATCAACAGGAGTAGATGGTGCTGAGTACATGCTCTGGATTGGGATTGTAGTATCTGTGCTGATACGATAGATGCATTTAGTTGCCACAGTAAACACAACTGTTCATAATGATTTGCAACAAACTTGGAACAGGTAAGCAGAGAGCCTGACTGAATTTGTTTGGGCGCACATCACCACCAGCAGCTAACCAACAACCTAAAAGGTTAAAACCCTAACCCCCAAATCCTTGTGGATTAACTAATCAAGGAGTCCTAGATCCAGGGATTATTCTTAATTGATGATTAATTAATCCGCAAGCCCTGTTCCATGGAATTAGGTCGCAATCATCCAGATCCAGCCAACCCCCGGGCCCCTCGACGGAGAAACCCAGCAAAAAACTGGACAGCAGACAACACCTAGCGCGACGGGCGCGAGTACCTAGGAGGAGGGGCGGCGTCGGCGGCGGCGGCGCCATGGGCATGCGGGTGCGGCGGCGCCTTCTCCTTCTCCTCCTCCTTCATCCTGATCCTGTACCAACGAAGCGAACGGAACGAACCGCCCGCGTTTAGTTACTTCGCCGGCCGGACAGGAAAGTGGCAGGAGGATGGGTAGACGCCGGCTGACCTCCGCTGCTCCTTCCCCGGCGGCGCGAACTCCGCGGCCGTCTCTGTCGCCCGCGGCGGTTGGGATGAATATTCTTCTTCGAGTGAATTACACTTTTTTTACGACGTAGACTGTCACTATTTATTGGCAGTCACTTATCATTTCGCCTTGCCTTAGAATTTTAAAACTTTAAAACTTATTGTTTCACTTAATCCTCAAAAATATTTCACTTTGACCCAAACGTGCTATTGTAGAAATGATGTTACACACTAGTGTAAAATGTGGTAGAAAAAAAGTTACTAGAACATATCCAACTTGGGTCTAATCTTCAACATCTCATCGACAAGAGTGAAAGCACATTGTGGTTTGGAGGCTTAATTTTAGCTGAGTGCATTTTAATTTATTTTTCTTTGGTCGTACTAGTTGTATCGCACTACTTAGTTTTATTATTAAAAGTTTCGACTGCTCAAAAGTGTCATCCTTGAATTAAGTTTATGTAACATGGAGGCTTGTCAAGACGGTTTGCACTATCTAGAGGTCTCCGGCGGAGCCACCCCTTATACCCCAACTTATTCTCATTATGTGTGGAGGGGTTCTCTGCTTTGCTTAGAAGAGCACAAGAGAAACACCATATTAAAGGGGTGTTTTTTGGGAGCACTGGCCCATATGTTACACACCTTCTCTTCGCCGATGGCGGTATAGTTTTTTTGGAGGAGGCTAGTGCCAACATAGTGGCTCTTAAGGAGATTTTGGTGAAATATGAAGAGGCTTCTGGTCAGCGTACTAATCTTCAAAAGTCGTCTATTTTCTTTGAAAAAGGAACACAGGAGGAGTTCAAGTTAGAGCTTAATAATATTTTGGGCATTCAACCAGAAGCCCTCGGTGAGAGATATTTGAGTGTTCCAACATTGGTTGGGATATCAAAACATGGTACTTTCAAGTATGTTACCGAGTGCTCAAAGGGAAGAGTTAGTGGCTTGAAGGGACAAGGGATGTCAAAGACTGCAAGAGAGGTGCTCATCAAATCAGTTCTCCAAGTCACACCAACTTACATCATGAGTTGTTTTCATCTCACAAAAAAGATGTGTCAAAATTTGACTTCGATCTCTTCGAAATTTTGGTGGGATGCGACGAATGATGAAAGTAAGGTGCATTGGATTGAGACAAATGTGTGTAGCCAAACGTGAGGGTGGTCTTGGTTTTCGAGATTCGGAAGAGTTCAATCAAGCCCTTCTAGCCAAGCAGGCATGAACGATTTTGCAGTTTCCACCAGCGGAGACACCACACCTCTTGTGATTACTAACTCGTTTTTCTTCTTCTTTCTGTTTCTTAATCCATGGACTTTTTCAAAATTTGTGAACTCTTTTTGAATCGCTGATTTTTCAAAAATAATTGATGAACCTTTTCCATTTTCTTGTGAACTTTTTTCAAGTTTGTGAATGAACTATTTTTATTAAATTAAAAAACGATGAAATTCTGGCAAAAATTGATGAACACTTTAAAAAAATGATGAGCTTTTAAAAAAATCAAGGAACGGCTCTCAATTTTTGAACTTTTTTTTCGAAATCGATGATAACTTTTTTCTCCAAATGGATGAACTTTTTTTTATAATTTTCGTAAACCTTTTTCACAAACTTTTTCATCAGAATTAAAAAACCGGCCTGTCTCTTTTCTACCAGGCCAACAACGCAAAAAGGGAGAAAAATAACCTGCGGCCGAGGGACGGACCGAACCGAGCGGACGTGCAGCTGGAACTGGGCAGGATTTGCGAAGCGTGTTGTTGGGCCGCGGCCCACTTGGTCGCGCGTGAGCGCCAGTTAGTTCCAGGGCACAGAAGGCGCCATATAGGAGCACCCCGAACTTCACGTTCTTATTTGAGCAAACTCTCCTTGGTAAAATGCTGACTAATAGCATGTGTGTTGCAATGGGAGCATACATATACTAGTGGTTTAATGACACCAATCATGTTCGACATATATCTTACCCCATCGTATTCTAGATTTTTATATAAATATTTGGTTTGATTTGATTTGATTTCTATATAAATAATTTTATGTATCATGAGTAGGGATTTTTAAGGAAATGTTTTGATTTAGTTGAGGTTTTGATGAGATCTGATTTGTTTTTTATATGAGTAGGGCAAGAAAAGTTTTAATTTAACTAAGGTTTTGATAAGATTTTTTAATTTAACACACTAGCTTGTGCTTGTGCATCCCCGGCCGGCCAGCATCTCGTTGTCTCGCTCTCATCGGCACGACTTGCGGACATTGGGGCGACGCGCCCATGCTCTCTTCTCGTTGCTCAACTGATTCTTACTCAGTGTATTAGAGGATTATTCTTTCAAGTGCGAGAACGACCCGCCCAACCCGCATAAACATCCGCACACTACGGATGTACTCCCTCCGTTTCGAAATATTTGTCTTTTTAGGCATTTTAAATGGACACAACATACGGATGTATGTAGACTTATTTTAGAGTGTAGATTCACTCATTTTGCTCCGTATGTAGTCACTTGTTGAAATCTCTAGAAAGACAAATATTTAAGAACGGAGGGAGTACCACACATGTGTAGGGAGTTGACAGTTCCTTAACATAGCGTGGGCGCACATTCTCCGGAAATATATGGTTGTGTGATTGTAAGATTGTCATAGAAATCCAGCATGCGCATGGTGTTTCCTTTGAATAGTTTCAAAACACTCTATTTTCAACGGGGCAACCAGAAAGGCACATGTTTTATCAACTGGAGTGACTTTTTAAGCACACTCAAGTCTCAAAGACACCATATAATGATGCTCAAATCATGACTCGCGAATGGCATCCGTTGTTTCCTTGCATTTTCCCTCCATGCTCCTACTTCTGTCTATATAATACGTATGTAACTTTGGCTATTAAGGGTATACCTAATAAAAGATTTAACTTTTTTTGCGAGAACACTTTAGTTAATTAATATATGGGTTTTTTTCAGAAAAAAATAGGATACAAGGTCCAGTGGATGGAGAGGGCGAGACAATCAGGCCTTCAAAAGTCATCACCATCATCTTCCAAATTCTTCAAAAAAAAAGGATAATATCCACTCAAGTTGATGAATCACTACACGGTCAGCTTATCGGAAGCACTTGATTACAAGGAATTCTCGTGAGAGGAATCAACATTGATCTCCTGTTCACCTCACCAACCACAAAATAGGCAATCATTTTCTCTAAGCCGAAAGGTCCAATCTGTCCTAATCCAATGCAATGGTGTGTTTCCCACTGAACAGTGCAATAAAGACAAATTAAAGTATAGTATCTCATCGGTGACTAGTTTACCACATCGTTCAAACAGAAAGCAGAAAGAATTGGCCCTTTTCCATAATCGTTCCTCTCGAAGCCCTAGGAGAGGCGATCTCCGAGTGTACAATGCCGTACACCGCCACCTCTCCTCCGTCGGTAGGTTCCCCCTCCCCACCCCACCCTTCTCCTCTGCGGGCTTGCTGGTGTGGGTGCGGCGGGAGACACTGATTTGCCGGATGAAGTTGTAGGTTTCACCTAATTTGGCGCTCTTAGGTAGGTTTTCGTTGCCCGTCGCTTCAGAACTTCCAGCAGTGGTGACGGTGGCACTCAACGAAGTCTTCTCCAATAGCTTGTTTGTAGATGGTGGCGGTGCCGATCCAACGAATAAGGTTTCGCAGAGTCATCCCATCTCGGCAGTTCGCCTGTGTGACATTGATGGCTCAAGGGTGTATTTTTCTGGTCGATCATTATGCTCGATGAGTAATGGCCCGCATGGTTTTTTGGTACGCGTGGCGCGCCATCGATCCATTTTGCAACATGAAGATGGTCGACTCCCATGGACTTCAATGCAACTTTTTTTATTTCCCTGAGGGTGTTTGTATAAAAATAGACAAATGCGAAGGGCAAAAAGAAAAATCCACAAATACCCAATGAGATATTACCAGTAGGACACAGGTCAAGGTATTTGACGGTTCATTAACATAGGTTGAGCACATAACGAAGGCTTTCAAATAAGACATTTTGAATGCGTTTTGACGGGTTTTTTAAACTTTTGTTAAGTTTCAACTTCTGAAACTTAATACGAGGGACCAACAAAATCGTAAAAGAATACTACATAGGAGAATCATAAACATACTGCTTTGCTTGTTTTGTTTGCTGTCTTTGTAAGCTGGCCCTTTAATTTAGCAATTTCAGGTTTGGCGTCATTATTTTTAATTTAGCACCGAGTCTAGTCCTTGTTTCCAAGAAAACAATTCACAAACAAAACATAAACTACAAGCAGAAAATGAAAACTGCTACTAGGACAATTCCACGTGAGACACGTCTTTCCCATGTTCCCCATTGCCACTAGCACTGCCACTGTTGCTACTTACTACTGGTGTATCGGCTCCCGTGGCCTCACCGCCACCCACTTTCCGGCGAGGACGACAACCAAACCTGGCGGCGGCATGGCACGCCCAATCCCAGGAGTGGAGCAGCATGTAGGAGGCGATGCCGCCGATGAGGCCGTAGGCGATGGAGTAGGTGAGCGGCATGAGCGCCAGCGTCATGAACGCCGGCACGGCCTGCCGCATGTCCTCCCAGTCCACCTCCGCCACCGCGCGCATCATCATCACGCCCACCAGCACCAGCGGCGGCCCCACCGCCCACGACGGGATCGACGCCAGCAGCGGCGTGATGAACAGCGCCGCCGTGAAGTACAAGGACGCGGTGAGCGCCGTGAGCCCCGTCCGCCCCCCCTCGCGGATCCCCGTGGACGACTCGATGAAGACCGTGACGGGGGACGTCCCCAGCAGCGAGCCGAAGACGATGGCGGTGGCGTCGGACATGAAGGCGAAGTACTGCCCCTCGAACTCCCCCGTCGCGTCGTCCACGAAGCCGGCGAAGCGCGCCATGGAGTAGAGCCCGCCGGTGGTGTCGAGGATGTCGACGTAGAGGAAGGTGATGAGCGCCTCCCAGAAGTAGCCGTGCCCGATGCCGCTGAAGTCGAGCGCGCCGGCGGTGGACTGGATGCGGTGGACGTCGAACACCTTCTTGAAGTAGCTGAAGCTCTCGTCGCCGGCGGGCGTGTCCGGGAACGCGGTGACGGCCGTGTTGCGCGGCCATGAGATGAAGGTGACGAAGAGGATGCCGTAGATCATGGCGCCCTTGACGTTCTTGATGAGGCAGAAGGCGATGATGAGGAGGCCGACGATCGCGAGCCAGAAGGTCGGGGAGGTCATCCGGCCGGAGAGGCAGAGTATGCCGCCGGAGACCGTGCCGCCGGGCATCAGCGCCACCGTGCCGTTGGGGAACGTGATCACCGGCGCCAGGGACGCGCGCTGCGAGGCCGGGCACGCGCCGAGGGTGACCAGCGTGGACGTGCTGAACCCGACGAGCCCGAACCCCTGGTTGCTCTGCAGGCCGATGAAGGCCAAGAAGAGCCCGATCCCCGCGGACGACGCGATCCGCACGGGCTTGGGGATGAGCTGGGCGAGCTTGGAGCGCAGCCCAACTACAGAGATGAGGAGGAAGACGAGGCCCTCGATGAAGACGGCGGCGAGGGCCTTGCGGTAGGAGAGCGTGCCGGAGCCGTGGAAGCCGACGACGGTGTATGCGAAGTAGGCGTTGGTGCCCATGCCGGGGGCGAGCGCGATGGGGAGGTTGGCGAAGGCGCCCATGATGAAGGAGCCGATGACGGAGGAGGCGGCGGTGGCGACGATGAGGTCGCGGCGCGCGCGGGAGAGGCAGGCGGCGTACCCCGGGTCGACGGGCGGGAACTTGCAGGCCGGCGAGGGGTTGGCGCAGTCGTCGACGGTGCAGGTGGCGCCCGAGTCGGAGAGGATGGAGGCGTTGACGGCGAGGATGTAGGCCATGGTGAGGAACGTGGTGGTGCCGGCGCGGAGCTCCGTGGTGAAGGTGGTCCCCCGCGCCGCCAGGCGGAAGCGCCGGCCCACCCAGGACCGCTCCACCGCGGCGTTGAGGCGGCCCACCCTCGTCGCCGTCGCGGCATGGCCGCCGTCGTCGGTCCGCGGGATGATGGGGCTGGTCATGGCGGCGTGTGGCTGCGGGAGTTCGTTCGTCTGGCGGGGAGGGAGGGGGTTGGGGTGCCGCCGTCGAGGGTCAAACGCTGAGGTGCGAGGGGCCAAGAGACGTAGATGAGTCCACACGGGGCGGGGAGGAGATTCCAAATCTCGTTGGGAATCTTTTGCCCACGTTTTTCGTCCTTCTGTGTGAAGGATGTGGTAAACTAGTCACCATGCCTTTTAAATTACTAGGACCAGATTTGCTAATTCTATGTTGACTGAGTATTAGATAAATCTCAGCAAGGACCGTCTATCTTGACATTTACTCCCTCTGTTCCTAACTATTTGTCTTTTTAGAGATTTTAAATTGACTACCACATCCGGATGTATATAGATATATTTTAGAGTGTAGATTCACTCATTTTGCTTCGTATGCAGTCACTTGTTGAAATTTCTAGAAAGACAAATAATTTGGATCAGAGGGATCCATGAATCTATACATTGATATACATGCAAGTTTTCCATCTTTCAGAGCTATGATGAACACAATGGTACAGTTTTTACAATCCTTTTTTTTACTATAAATGGAGAGTTGTTTATAGTAGGGTAAGTATTGTTTGCAGTTTGTATTAACAAATTTATATATTTGGCTGAGAATTTATTGATTCACAGTGGATGAGGACACTCCTTCAAATCATCTTTGATGTATTCTTCAATTGGGAACGTGCATTTGGGAGAATTTTTGGTGTTTGATGTAATGAACATGTGATTAATGTTGCAGGTTAGGACAAGGTTGCTTTCTCTCTCAATAATCCGTCTAATTCAAGTGCCTCAGAGAAGCTGCCAAAGTATCGATTCATCGATGAGTGGATATCTCCTCTTTTAAAAGAATCAATATGTTTTTGGAGTGTTGCTTTGGAAGATGACGACCATGACCTTTATAATGTGTGTTGGCCTTGCCTTCTTCATTCGCTGGACCTTGCTTCATTTTTAGCTCTTGTTGTAGGTGGTATTGCATCATCTTGCTCCATGTGTCCAAAGCAACGGACAACTAAAACCTACGCCCTTAATCGGGTAAAAGCTACAACTCTATCCAATAGTTTCGGGCCTCCTTACACCCTCACACTGACAGAGCTAGAGAAGGGGGAGACCGCAGGCAGAGGAGAGATGGTGATGATGTGTGCCCAGAGATTGGCTCTCCTAGGGTTTGAAGAGAAATGATTGGTGAAAAAGATCAACTCTTTATGTTTTTGGTTTGGATGATTTGAATTATCATTCTTGAATTAAACTAGTCACCCGATAATATACTTTGCCCTAAAATATCCTTCTTGTATTCTTTCAGGTGGGAACACACCTTTGCATTGGATTAGGACATGATCGACCTTTCGGCTTAGTAATGGGACACTTTTGTTTGCGTGTGTGTGTGTTTCGTGAGGTGAACAGGAGATCAATGTAGCGGTTTAGGGAAACTAAAAAAATGCTGCAGTTTTGGTGTTTGATTTCTCTCACAAGAATCCCCTGCAATCAAAGTGCTCCGAGAAGCAGCCCAACTGCCCAAGTAATGAGTTGTAAATTTGAGTGGATATATTCGTTTTCAAAGAATAAATACCTTTTCAAGTAGCGTTGTGGAAGACGATGTTGATGGCAGGGTGTTTTGTGGGCACATATTTGTTGGAAATCCAATTTGGCTCCCGGGAGCACGCGCTCCTGCGTGCGAAAAATAAATTTTCAAATGTAAAAAAATTCTGACAATTTTTTATGTATTTATAGCTGCATCCAAATGTTACCTGCAAATTTTTCGACAAAAAGGTTAAACATTTTGGACTGTGAAAAAAAAAACAAATTTGAACACCAAACGTTACCCCAAATTTGTTTTTCACCGGCGAAACACTACTGTTTTATTGCACATGAAAATTATCGACCATGCTTGCGACACAATGCAAGACGGGAAAATGCAAGGAAACAATGGCCGCCATTCGCGAGTCATGATTTCAGTATTATTCTATGGTGTCTTTGAGACTAGAGTATACTTAAAAAGTTACGTACTATTACTCCTATAGTTGATAAAAGCTGGTCCGTTGAAAATGCAGTACCCTAACCCCATGCTCGTGCTGAATTTTTATCATAATCTTGCAAGCACGCAACCGCAACCATATATTCTGGAATGAAGTTCCATCCATTTACTCGCAGGGAGTGGCTGTGGCATGATGCCTACCGAAAGGGATTGTGTCGGAAAATGCGTGCCCACGCTATGTTAAGGAACTCTCAAATCCCTTAGCATGTTGGGCGAGTTGGGCGAGTCGTTCTCACACCAGCCCACACATTTTATTTGCAAGAATCAGTTCAGTAACGAGCAGAGCACCTCATTCTTCAAGCATGCACGGACGCGTTGTCTCGCCGGTGTCCGCAAGTCGTGCCGGTGAGAGCGAGGCGGTGACATGCCGGCCGGCCGGCCGGGGATGCACAAGCACAGGCTAGCGTGCACGCCTGCCTCTACATGTATCATATCATACACACCGCATGAGCTACTTAAATTGACCGGTTGAATGCGACGTGTTCACGCTTGGCAGCATCGCTCGACTCGTTGGATGGGAGTGCATGTATGTCCAACGGAAGGTGGCTTGCCGTGCTTGTCTATTGACTTTCTGTATCGAGAAATGCCCGGGGTTGACCCGGAGTATGTGCGGCAAAAGGCCAGGACAAGAGAAGAAATGTTGCACGTGAGAAACTGAAATCTTATAGACGCCTCGGCAGCTCTAGTTACACACATATAGGCCGCCGCAGGTTCTCCTCGTCTCCGGTGGCTCTGGGCAAGGGAAGCGCGGTGGATCGTGGCAAGGGCCGGCGGAAGGGCTCTGTTTTTAGCCGTTTTTTCCTGTCTTGTTAGAGTTTGTGTTCTGCTTAGGAAGGCGAGACAGCGGCGGCTCTTTGAAAATGGAATAAAGGTCTCCCTGCCTAGCCCCCGTTCTGAAGATGGAATAAAGGAAATTTATTAATTTCCTCAAGTTAAGCTTACCATAGTAGTCCTCTGCTCCTGAAACCCATAGTCCGGTTGCTGATCAGACCGCAGTTTCTCCTACTGTTCGGCGAAAAGCTCCATTGAGCAATCCCGTGGAACGCCATGTTGTTTCAGAAAGTGTTTCGCGCTCTCGCTCTTTTGTGTGCTGGTCAGTGTAGCAATGTGTCGCTGAAGTATGCCTTAACCCACTTGTGCCGCACCTCATAGATGTCCTTCAGAAATGGATGATTCTCCAATCCATGCTCCTCTAGCAGCATCTCCCATGCTCTCTCAAACTCATCAGCCGTCAGCGTGTCGTTCAGAATTTTGTGGAGCCCCACTCGAAAGCTACTCGTTTTGGTGTAAGGGAAACCAATGTAGTCCTTTGCCCTGCGAAGCACATTCCACTTGAACCATCTGTGTGTGGTGGACTGGTGGATGGCAGTACCTCCAATACGGCTTCCTCGATTGCCTCAAATCAAATATCCCTCAAATCAAAAAGTAAAATACCCCTCCCCCTGCGTACGTCGTCATTGTCCAAGTTCCAGGCCAGGCCGGATCTTCTCGGCTCGCCGGCCGGCTTCAGGCATGGACCGAGTTTCCCCGTGCTCCTCATCCCCAACCATCACGCCCTCGATCTGCATGCCGGCGACTCTTCTTTTCATCGGTAAACACGGCATTTTGAGGACGCCGCCGGCCACGAATCGTACGTCGCCGCCGTGCTCATCCTCCCGCGATTTCCACGCCAACCAACAAAAGGAATCGTACGTCGCCGTCGTCCCCGCCTCCGGCTTGTCTCCGCCCTCCCCCCATCTCCTCCTCAACCGGAACGCCGTCCGCGCCGTGATGAGGTCCATCAAAGAGAGCTTCTTTTTTTACGACGACGAGGAAGGCGAGACATCGGCGTCTCTCTGAAGATGGAATAAAGGTCTCCCCGCCTAGCCCTCATTCCGGTAGAGCGTCTAGCATCGTTGGTGAGCGTGTGGAGATGTGTCTCCGGCGGATCTATCTTTGGTGGATTTGCTCGGATCTCGCCGTTGTTCGTCTACGTTCGTGTGTCTTCGGGTTGAATCCTTCCAACCTACGTTATTCTTCATCGGCGACGGTTGCTGTTCTGGTGCACTGGTCTTATGGGGCCTTAGCACGACGACTTCCCGACTGTCTACTATAACAAGTTGCGCCCGACTCCGGCGATGGAGGGGCGATGACGGCGAAGCGCCTTCGGCTCGCTTCAGTGCTTGTAGTCGTTGCTAGGTGGTTTACGGATCTGGATGCAATTTCTATTTTTTGTGTTCGTCGTACTGCCATGATTGAAGATGAATAGATTGAAAGTTTTTCTGAAAAAAAAACTATACATGTATTTCTCCATGGAATTACTTTACATGTTTATAATTGAATTATTCCTTGCTGGAACGTATTTAAGTATTGTATGCTTTGGTAAGTTGGAAACACAATATCCTCTATAATACTAAGCTTTCTAGCTTTAAAGAGTCCACGTTTAATTGAGATTTTCAATTAGAATTGGATTACCAGATTTTGACCGGATCAACAATTTTTAAAAACTCTTTTATTCAATTCTTTTATGCTATACACTATACTTTCAAATTTTAATGCCTTACAATTAATTGATGTCAATTTAGAATCGGGTCATCCGATTTTGATCGGGTTAACAATTTCTCAAGATCCTCATTCATTTTTTAATCTACTATGTTCTGCAGCTCTTTCATTCAATTGAGGTATTCAATTTTGGATTTAGTTTATGATTCTGATCGGACCAACGATTTTTCAAATCAATCAGCAGCAACCGGCCTATAAAAATATATCAATCATGCGCACCCTTCCACCACCTAGAAAAAAGAAGCATCACCATGTGATATTGTAGCACAAATATAGTATGTGCAACCACTGACACAAAAAATTTCACACATAAATATAGGTTGGTTGGCAGATAGCACAAAATCACACCATGATAGACCCGCCAAATCACCGCACTATAAATAAAAATAAAATACACTCTATCGTCTCCCCC